GACATTAGTTCACATAGCAGACTGTGAAAAACGAACATTCATATTGTTAACGATTTGAATGCTCTCACGCAAAAATCATATGTACCTGCCACCACTTTGAGTTTACTCAAATCGTTTTTATGCGTTTTTGCAGCTATGCAATGCAGAAAACGCATATTGACGAGGGGTTGTGTGTGTGAGTGTGTGTATGTGTGTGTGTTCGTCTGTGCCGATTTTTCATCTCGAGACCGACAAAAGCTACAGGGCTGAAACTTTGGGGACATTATCTACATGCACGTACGGGTCCCCATCCCTGAAATGGGTGGTCCCACCAGCGTGGTACACACGTAAGAGATTGCCAAAATTTTTCTCGGGTAAGTTGAGATAACTCGCGAACCAGAATAGTTAGAAGGCTGAAATTTTAAAGGGATGTTCCCCGTCCAAGTAGGTATTAATGAGCTCAAACCCAGCCCCCGAGCAGGTGTGGTACCTGCGTACGGGCCCGCCAAAATTTTTCCGGGTAAGTTCATAACTCGGGAATCTGAGATGCTAGGAAGCCGAAATTTTAAGAGGATGTTCCCTATCCACCTTAGTCTCAACGAGCTCAAACACAGCCCTCGGTCATGCGTGGTGCCTACGCACGGATGTACCAAAGTTTTCTTTGGGTAAGTTCATAACTCGAGAACCTGAAAAGCTAAAAGACTGTAGTTTTAAGATGTTCCCCGTCCAAGTAAGTCTCAACGAGCTCAAACCCAGACATCGGGTATGTGTCGTGCCTGTGTATGGACCCGTGAAAGTTTTTTTCCAGCAAGTTGCTAACTTAGGAGCCAGGAAAACTAGAAAGCTGAAATTTTAAGGTGTTTCCTACCAGTTCCGGTGGCCAGTCTTAATTTGTTTAGCTGGAAACATTTGCCGAAAAAACCGATGCCTGTAGCGACAAAAACTGTGGCGAACTATGCAAAAAACGCATCTTGGCACGGGCAGCCCGTGCACTGGCCAGTTATTTGTGCTTTGTAAATACTAGTCACCCATGCATGGCTTTCATCGATTATCACAATCTACCGTGCGCAAAATTTCTCATCCACGTTATTTTTTTGATAAAAAATATGGTCTTTCCATTGAAGAAATACTTTCGTATCTTATGCTTTTTTCGTTACAAGCAGCTTTTTCCCTTGAGTTTTGACCGTGGCCTTTTCCTGCTCCCTTGTTTTGTCATATTTTTTCCAGAACCATCTAACAGCGATTGGGAGGCATAAATCGAGGGCCGTTCATGGAACTGCGCTTAGATTTCAAGACGGCCAAGCAGTCCAACTTATCCGAAAGCTGCCAGTAAACTGCAAGTCCATTTTGCACAGTCTGTGTTTTGAATTTAATTTATATTCTTAGCCATAGCCCTAAAAAGAAAAGTGAGCCAAGTTCGGCACCGATGGTGCTAATAACTAAATTTGATGCTCAAAATCATGCTTTTCAAAAAAATACAGTTTTGCATCTTTTTATTAGCTAGACCAAATTTGAGTGTTTTATAAGTGAACTCAGTTTCGAAGAGGTTACAACTGAAATTTGCTGCAGAAGCGAGTTTTTGGTTCGGACTGAGTTGAAGATATTCGGAATGTCAGTGGACAAGACAATCGAAGAGCTCAGCTACACGTTGGCTCAACTGGGCACTCTCGTTGGTCATATCAATTCACAAATTGGACAGCTTGCATCCAGGTCATTAAATAATCCTGTTCAGTAGTCTCATTATTACTTCCTTCAGATAACTTATTTTTGAATTTTTCA